ATGGGTAACCGGATGGTGTACACAAAAAGGATACACAACTTCTCCACAGGCAGCTCCCTGCTGGGCAGCAGTGGGTCTGCTACACAGACATCCCAGGCAGATGTCCTTGTCCACAAGTTCCTGCAGGACTTACTCTGTGTTGAGCCAGTGGCAGCTGTCAACCACCCAGACAAATATCTTCCTACCAGGCCCAGAGCACAGCTTGGCTAGCAGCTGCAGCATGGCCATCTCTCCCCAGCCATGATCTACCGTGCTTTGCAATGTCCCCATGGCCTTCTTTCCCTTGGAGCAGTAAGGCAAGCCAAGCTGGAGTGGGCCTGCATGGCACTGCAGGTGAGAAGTCAGGGTAGCTGGTGCAAAGTCTAGCTTGGGTAATGATGTGTTTTCCTGGGGAAAAGGTGGCTGGGACCAGCTGGCTCCATCTGGTGATCAGTGGCTAGCTAGGGATGGAAGGGGTTTCCTCTGGAGCACTGGGGATAGCTGTGTGGTTTGTGTCCTGTTTGCTGTCCTGCCTCCTGTGCTTACCTAACTACAGTCTGTTATTTTTGGTATGAGAGGTGGATTTGTTCCTTTGGATTTGTTCCAATTGCAACTGGATTCACAGCAGAGACGTTCACCCCTGTGTGGGTATCTTTTTGCTTTATAGATCCACTGAGTGTCTGTTAGCAGTGCACTTAGCTCAGTGATGCAGGCATGGGAAAGTGAGTGACTCCTGTGTCAGAATAAGGCTGTCTTCATGTGAGCTTTCCTCCTCCAGAACATGCTTGGAGCGAGGCTTGGGCTGTCCTGTCTGCCACTAGGTGCCAATAATGTGCTGTAAGCAGGACCAGAAGCTAAACTGCTTCACTGATGGCCACGCTTCTGATTTGTCGGTAAGAAATGATGCGAGTGTGTTTCACTGTGCCAAAAATGATGATTGCTGGGCTCCTGCCTAGCTGTTGCTCGCTGTTTTCCAAATCATGGTGTTGGGCAGGGCTTTTGCTGTGGTTCCCATGCTGTCCAGAGCATCCTATTCAGCGTGAAAGTAAAGCAGTGGTAGAGATCAGGCTTTGAGAAACTGAGCTGAGGCTTGCTCCCTTTCCCACCTGGGGGCATAATGAAAAAATGACTGCTGAAAAAATGATTTTGTTGATTGCCCCATGTCTCCAGACCTTGCCTTTGCCCCCTGCCAGGCTCCCAGCTCTGTGGCCCATCACACAGGAGGCTGCACCATGAGAAGCAATGTAGCAACGGCTTGCCTAAGAGCCTGCTGTAGTAGGTGGCTTATTGTCCCTGGTAGCTCCAGAAAACAGTCTTGCAAATGATAGGACAGGCCTTGCTGTTAACGTTCTGTGCATGGCACTTGACTCCATAAAGGCAAGCGTTCAGTGACTTGGAACTACAGAAGTCTGAAGATACAGCTCTGTTTTTTAAATTTTGTTCATAATATTCAAACTTACCAAACCCTCAGTTTGAGGTGATTATACTATCATGTTGTAATTGCCCTTGCAGCCAGCAGATTCACCGTGATCTCAGAATCACAGCACGGCTTGGGTTGGAAGGGACCTTAAAGCCCCCAGTCCCACCCCCAGCAGGCTGGCTGCACCCCCCTTCTCCCCCTCCCACAACCTCAGGCTGCCCAGAGCCCACACAGCCCAGCCTTGGGCTACCACAGCAGATGGGATTTCATGATCCCCTTCCTGCCCTGCTGGCAGTGCTTCTGAAGCAATGCACCAGGCGGCCACTTTCCAGGTTGCAGGCACACGCTGCTGCTCATATCCAGTTTTATATCCACCAGTAATGCAGCTGAAGTCAGTCGAAACACACTGTGGAAATGTGTAAGCTTTTATTTCTAAACCCTCAGTAACATTTTTTTCTGTCTTATAAAGTATTTGTACATCCGTAGCTCCATAGGGGAATGAAAGAGAAGTTGAGGTCCCTGTTCATTTTTTACTGAATCCACCAATTCTACTTATCCCTGATGTTAACCTATATTTACCTGCTGGCTCTTTGGTCTGCATTAGAAATCTGGAAGCAGAGCAGAGCCCACCTCTGCCCTGGCAGAATTACCAGAGGGATTATTTTTTCTGCTTACATGGGTGCAGCATGTTCCTGGCACTTGGCTGGCTCCTCATCCTGTTGATCAGGCACTAGCAGCTGCTGGAGGGCTGTAGCTGGGACTGGGCTAGTCCCTGACAGCCCAACAGCACTAAGTGACCTCCAAATTTCTCCTTTTGCAATCACTGCTTTGGGGCATTGGACAGGTTGGAACTCCAGCCCTCTCCTGGCTGCCCCAGGGAGGGCATTCAGCCCCATCCCACTCACCTCGCCCCTTCCCCTTGGTGAGGTCAGAGGTGGCACAGGGGCTACAAAACAAAATTTGTTTGTCTTGTGCTGGAAATACGTCCTTATTTCTTTATTTCTCCCCCAAAAAGCAGTGTCAATGCAGCTGAACGTGTGTCCCAGTGGGTGATGTGTGATGCTGTGATGCGGCAGCTGTCAAGCAGGTGTGAGGTGTGCTGGGGAGGTGGGGGAAGGCAGAAATCCAGCTCCTCTATTTTTGCAGAAGTAGAAATCTGCATGTACGTGGGCCTCAGATGTGTGTGCAGAAGTGCAGGTCAGTGCCCAGCATCTTCTGTACCTAATGCTGATTGACACACATGCTCTGGGCTGCAGTGAAGTGGTTCCTCTTTTACTGGTGATGCGTGGGGAGTTGTGAGGGTGCTGAGCAGGAGCAGAAGGGTTAGGGGGTCCAGGAGTCCTTCACACGTGAAGGGGGGATGCCCTGGTCCATGAGGTGGGAGGACACCGTGTTGTACTTGGTGTTGGGGTTGATATACATGGCCACGAAGGAGATGTGGCAGGCAATGGCCTCCTGCACTGCCACCATCAGCTCCCACCCCAGGAACTGAGCCACCTTGGTGAGCTCCCAGTGAGGAGCCTGGGGCATGGGCCTCTGCTCAGCCCTGGCTCCACCATCAGCTCCAGCCCCTCATTTCCTTTGTGTCCTCATAGATGATGCTCCTCCAGTGCTCTGGGGTGCCACTCACATGGTCAAACTGGGAGCTGTAGGCAACTGCATGGGGAGAGCAGTCATGAACATCAGCAGGTGGGAGGGCACTGTCAGGTTTTCCATGTGCACCCACGAGTGCCCTCCTGCTTCTGCCAGCTATGGACTCCTCCAGGAACTGTTTCCACGTCCATGAGTGGCATGATCCTGCAAGGCAGTGACCCCAGGACATGCGAGTGGGATGCCATTATCAACCACATGCCATGTTAGAATTTTCTGCCCCTGGGCTGATGCTGCCAGGCAGTAGAGTGGGGCACTGGTCGCCCCCTGGTTGGAGAAGCCAAGTTGGCCAGAAAGGGTGGGGGCAGGTTGGTATTTTGGGCTGCTTGTAGTGGGAGCACTTTTGGTAGACACCAAGCAGCTGGTAGGCATGCTGTCCCCTTGTATCACGAAGACCTGTATCTCAGCTGCCATCCTACCCAGTTCATCTTGGGGCAAGGGCAGCACAGCTATGGATTGGAGGAGCTGTAACAGGAGGGACCTAGCAGAGATACAGGGATGACCAGAACCTTGCAAGCCATGGTGTACCACTGACATGGTCCCTCTGCAGATGATCTATGTATGGCACAACCCCAAAGTCACAGCCATCTCCTATTACAAGTTTGGGTTGATGAATTAGCTGCTGCCTGAGCTAATGGCAGCTGTCAGTTTGATCTAACAAAGCTCTGGGCAGGCTCATTTCCTATCAAATTAGTAAGTGCTGAGACTTCTGAGGAGATGAGGGCAGTTTTGCCCTAGTCTTTTACAGAAAAACTCAAATTTAGTGTATAAACTCAGATCAAATAAATTATAGTGATGAATTTTTAACAGAAAAAGCTTTCTAGTAAACTTGAAGTGTTTGATTTCTATGATGCAAGATATTGTATTTATTTAAAAACAAACAAGCAACAACAACAACAAACTTCTTTTCTCCAAGAATACTCAGTCTTTTATTTCAAGGTAGCCCAGGCTTATAAAACTTAGCTGCATGGTCTTGCACTGAGCTCTTAAACTGCGTCACGAAGATGGTGCTCAGAGCTGTGCTTTATATTTGTGTATGTGTATAACAAGTGATGTACAAGCAATTGCTTTCCACCTGTTGATCAATGCCCAGCCTGTCCCCTGGCTGCACCCCCCCCAGACTCAGGGGTTTTTCAGCTTTCCTTTCTGCAGAATGTCACATGGAATGAAATATCCTTTTGGCCAGTTTAGGTCATCTGTTCTGGTTCTGTCCCCTCCCAGCTCCTTTTGTCCCCTCATCCCCTTCACTGGCTGGACAGTGCAAGAAGTAGAGAAACTGAACTGTCTTTGGCTCCATACAACTGCTACAGCACAGCAACAACTAGAAACATTGGTCTGCAGAAGAAATGTGAAAGCACTTGGGCTATCAGTATTGTTTTTCTCCTAAAACCAGGATACAGTGTCATGCCAGTCATTATGAAGAAAAGCAGCTCAGAGCCAGCTGAAACTAAGACACTTATGCTTTGAAATGAGCATCTGATGCCTCATCCTATTTGGGTGGGAGTGTAGGTGAGGTGTAAAGCTGTTGGGACTCAATGCACAACATTCTGGGCAAGTTTTCTTTAAGAATCTAAATATCACTTTGAGAAAACTTGAAGACGTGTTGGGATTGGTCACACTGAAATGATTACGTGGATATTGCAAATGAGTTAAGCGTGTTAACTGCAAAATATTTGATCTAGACATTATATGTAGTTTAAGAATTAGAAATGGAGCTTCGTTTCGTGCTTTGTTTAAGGAATGTGACTTGAAATCATTCATTTCCACTGAATCGGCGGCCACTAAGAGTTCAGTACTGCTTTGGCAGCCTAGCACCAAAGCAGCAATACCGTGTAATAAATGTTTACGTACCACCAAGCCTACAAACATTTGATTGCTTACATGACAGAGGTTTTCTTGTCCAGTTATTTGTCTCAATTTTTCCATTACATTTTCTCATTTTGTTTTCTAGCTTTACTCACAGACAAGCCTCCAAAGCCATTGTTCCCCATGGAGAATCAGCCAACTGTTATAGATGTCCAGCTGGGTAAGTCCCCTTCTGGGAATAATAGATCCTACGCTTCCACTCTGGTAGCAGATAGGGGAAATTGAAAGTGCTAAGAAAGGTTTAGTGGTGCTGTTATTACATGCAAATCAATTTGCAGCTTCTCATTTATAACTGTAGACTTCACTGCCATTGCAATTTGAAGGAATGAACTTGTGTAACATCAGGGAATGGCAGTACTAATTGGTTACACAGGGTACTAAATGTGAAGTTCTGCTGTTCTCTTTAATGTATGATTGATAGGCTAACATATGTCTACACTGGAGTGGTATTGATCAGCTGATGTTCTCCCTAAGACAAATAGTCTCATAAAAGAAATGCTGATTCCTTTAAAAGTTAATGGAAAACAGTGCATTTTCAGGTTGTTCTGAAGAAGGGACTTTTGACAAAGATGCTTGTATGCTTTTCTCACTCCTGTTATATTTTCTTGTGTGATTGCATATCCTTGACTCTCAGCTGGCAGCCTGTATTTTCTCTTGTGTTGAAAGACTGTAAGAAAGTTCTGCAAACTGTGGGGAACTCAAGGTATCTTGTTGCTGAGTTGCTTGGCTTTGAAGCTTCAGAGTTTTTTTTTAATGTCCTGAACACAGATTTCTAATTTTAAGCAGCGTAAGTGGAGTTGCTATTGAGGGCTGTGGTACCATGGATTTGAACTACAAGAGATGTTTTGTAGGCATGGGTTATTCACTGCGTGCTGAAGGTGCAGTGTTTTCCTTCCTCTAAAGCTTGATTCTCTTCCTCTGTTACACCAAAAATTGGTTAGGATTCAATGGTGGAATGGTGCTTAAAGGCAAGCAGGGTCAGAATGGAACGTGTAAGGTGGCTGGTAAGTGTGGCAAAGCCTTTTGTCTGGTTTTCTGACATCAGTTTTTTTAAGCTAGGTGCCTAACATTTTCAGCATAACACTGGAGACGCCATGGAATATTTAAGAACAAGGCTGGACTTCCTGAAGGTGATGGTTGAATTGCGGCAAGAGTGTGAATAATTTGTGCCCTTTCCTAAACTTACTCTCACATACCTGAATGGGCTTGGGAGGCAGGCAGGACTTGCACAAGGAAGGTAGCAGTGGATCTGGGCTGCAGCCAGTGCCTGCTGGCTGAGTGCTGCACGCTCAGGTGCCCTTCCTCGGGACTTGCATGTAGCTGAGCACAAAGTGACCCTAAAATGAGGAGATACTACATGGTGGGTCTGAGGCCACAGTCAGAAACTCACCAAAACTAACAGCAGAGCAGTCACCAAGGTTTGGATCAGCCCCAAAGGCTGAATATGGTCCCCAGGTGCAGCTTCTTTAAAGTCAACTTGCTAATGATTTCCCCTGGGAGCATGCTGTCCCTGCATGCAGCTGTGTGATAGAGGCACTCCGAGCGCACGTCTTTGCTTCCTGCACTTTCATTGCATCTTCATTTCCTGCTCCAAGTTTCATCAGGACTCTGTTGATTTTGTACCGAGTTTCTTCTTTCTTCCTCTGTGAAAACATTTTGTTCTGACTAATTAAAAAGGGTTTGATTAAAATAAGTAAGATGGAAACAAACAAAACCCTTTCTCTCCTTGGAGATATGGCTCCAAAACAGGATTTGGCAATATCTCCAGAGTGAAATATAAATCTTGCATCATTATGTGCTGAAATGTATTCCATTAGTTGTCCTCTAAGATCAGGGAATTTACATATGCTGCTTTTATTCTGGCACGATAATGCATTTGGTTATTGCCAGTAAACCATATTATGCTGCAAAAGTTTAATGTTTGGGGAAGAACCTGAAATGATTTCTGTGATATACCGTGAAATTCACCGTCTGCCCCTGATTTTAAATGGCCGATAGATGGAGCTGGAAGGTTCTCAGCGAACATTTCAGCTTGTGGGCGGCCCTGGAGCCACGCTGACCTCTGCTGTGTGCTGCTGCCCCACTCCGAGCACCGGGCTTTGTAGGAAAGAGAATCATTTGGCTGCAGTAAAGTAACAAGATGGAGTTCTCTGTAAGATCATCTGCTGGCATACTCTTTTGAAACCCTGCTAAGCTTCTTGGAGTTTCTAACAAGTGTTGTTCTTGTGGGCTGCATTTGGCATGAAAACAAAGTTTGTTTGAAAGGATGTGTGTTTCAGAGGGCCTGCAGACCGCAGGGTTGCAGCACCCAATGTGCTTGCTCTACCCGAGGTCCTGCAAGTACGAATGCACCTCTAAACTACAACAGAAATGGAGTTTAATTCATCTGCTTGCTCTGCAGAGATTATTTTAGATTTCTATTGGAAAGCTAATCTCTAAAGAAATGGCTGTCTTTGCCTTATGAGATTTATAGTTATTGTAGCATTATTCTAAACGATGAGTGCAATGCCATGCAAAATCTTTCTAGAACTCAGGACAGCAGCCTGACTATTCAGCAGCTTGTTTGACCTGATTGCAGACTTCAGAACTCACCTTTTGGCTTTCACATTTTGTAAGAAGATTCAAATGGAACTAGTTATGCGCAATTCTTATCAACAGTGGATAAAAGAATTTCTTTGGGCTTCAAACGTGGCCCAGAGCCTGCCTCGTTCTTCTTAAGGAGCATGCATGTACTTCTTGCTTGTTCCTTTTTCCTTTGGAATTTGACAAAGATCAAAACCTTGTCAAGGTTATAGAGAAGCAGAAGCTAGCGTTTGTGTGTGTCTTTTCTGTACTTGCTTGCACTGGAGAAATGGGGAGAGAAGAGAGATGAACACAAAAGAGAATCCCAGAGGACCACAGAAAGAGTCCAAAACAATTTCACTGTCTTGGATGTGTGAGCAGGTTAGATAATTACCTAACTCTGGGCAAACCTAGAAAATAACAACTGTTTATTTGTTTATTGTTCATTTGTTACACACAAGAAGGGGGAATCAAACAATACCACTGAATTGTTTGTTTTATAGCTTCTGGCATTGGGATGGCAGTGTAGCAATAGTACTTTATTGCACGATAATACAGCAGGTTGAATCTTGTATCTTGAATGAATGCTTTTTCAAATATGAGATTAATCTAATATAATATCATCTGCTTCATGAGAAGGACATTCCCTCTCTACAACTGCCCAGGGAGGTGCTGGAGTCACTGTCACTGGAGGTGTTGAAGAACCACGGAGATGTGGTACTTGAGGACATTGTTTACAGGGTGGTATTGGTGGTAGGTGGACGATTGGACTAAATGATCGTAGCTGTCTTTTCCAACCTTAATAATGATTCTGTGATTCTATATTCCTGAGTTACTTCCGTAGATCAAAAACTAATTTGATTGTCTGAGGCAGGAAATAGTGTGACTTCAACAGAAGGCTCTGGAGACAGCATTGAGTAAGTTTTTGGGTTTTTTTGCCATAAATCCTTACTTTTCTGTTTTCAGAATGTGACTGTCTCCTTTGGTCTGAATTTGAACTTAGTAATGCTTATGTCAGTGTGATTCAAAGTAGTTGTTCTAAGACTTATTTTTGTATTTATTCTGTTGCTTTGGCCATATAAAGCTAACTACGTGCATGGATTGTTCATACTAAATCACAGAGGCTAGGGAAACCCTGGTACGACTGGGATTTTGATCTTTTCTATATCAGAAGTCTTCAGGCTGTGGTACAGTAAGTACACTCTGCCAGTTTCTTAATTTAAATTTTAAACTCATTTCTGGCTAACTTTATTCCCCCTTAGTACTTTGTGAATGTGGAAAGCAGCAGCCCTTTGATTTTGATTACATGGTTACTAGCTACAAACTAAGGCTTTCTGTTGTGTTAATTCTATAATGTTACACAGTGATTGTAATGTGAAGTTGGTCTTTCCTTATCTATATCTATCTAGTGAATATCTAGTGAGATCTAGGTGAGACTGCAATGAATGTTTGTGTCTGTATTTGGCGTGGTTGTATCATCTACTTTTAAATTGGGAACTGGCCTGGTTTTCAGACCTTTACTTAAGAGGCGTAGTGGGAGAAAGCAAACCAACAAACATCTATGTTAATTTTCTGAACAAGGAAAATATCAGGGGATTTACCTCACTGACTTCATGGTACTTGCTGTGTCTAAAGATGCTGAGGGAAGCAGACATGCATTTTATGAGGATTCTCGTTTTTCCTAATAGCTGACCTGTTCAGAAAGATTTTGTTTCTAAAAGATTTAACAGTGCAATTCCTTGGGACTAGATATTAAGAAGATCAATAGTACGAGTGTGAACCAAGCATGAGGGAACATGCAGAGTTACTGTATCTGCTGGCAGGTATGGAAGAGAATAAAAATAGTATTTAAAAAAAAATAATAGTGGATGGTCCTTTTTGTTTGAAGCGCTGGCTCCATGCTCTTCTGGTGAGACTGGAGCTCTTGCCACTCTCTGAAATGGTGGGTGCAACTGCAAGATGTTCTTGGCCCCAATGGAGTGAGGGTGGGCACAGGAGCATGCCAGGCTGCCAGGTCTGCTGCCTAAATGCATGGAGCTGCTGCAGGTGCTTCTTCTGAGAGCTTGTAACTGCATCAGGCTTGGAAGGATTTTCTTGGGAATGGAAAAGGCATTTGTCTGATCTTCAAATTGAACATCACTTAGATGGCAACAATATGGGCGATATAGCATTCTTTCCTCATTTCCTTCACCTATTCTGTAAGGAAAGCTTTGAGGTGTTAGATGTAGGCCACTCCCCCTTCATGTCTTCCCAGCTTAAAAAAGGTCTTATTAAGGTAACTGACTTCTTCTTGCCTTTGATTTCTTGAGTTACATCAATCAATACAAAATCATAACCATATGAAACCAGAGCCTTGACATGAGATACAGCAAACATGTAGGCAATATCTCTTCTAGTGGGAAATAAAGTAGCAATCAGCAATTCTGCTGTAACTGTTTAAATCAGCCTCTCAAGATATGACTCCTTCTCCTGTCAGAACAGCCTACAAATATTAGTGCTGTATATAGTCTGTAAATATTACTAGCAGTAATGGTGCTGTACATGGTGTACTGGGCTGTGTTTTCTGTCCAGGTAGTTACATCATGTACATAAGGTGCC